TGGCGAAAAGCGCTTACAGGTAGTAACGGATTTCAGGCAACTTAACGAGATAACAATGGGCAGTTGCCATCCACTTCCCTTTCAGAGTAATATACTGGAACATATGGCGACATCACGCTTTATTATAGTGGTAGACTTGAAGCAGGAATTTTTTCAAGTCGAAATACATGAAGACAATGCTCATAAAGCAGCGTTTTCGGGACTGGATAGGCATTACCAGTACACAAAAATGCTAATGGGTTGCACGGATTCTCCGAACACGTTTTTAAGGGCAATAACGCTTGCACTCGCAGGGCTGCAGGGCCATAAGGTAGAGGTACATTTAGACGATATAATGATGTTCGCGTCAAATCTTAAAGAACATCGCAAACGTTCTATGAGATTGTTAGANTATTGGAGTTAATTAACATATCAGGGTGCAACGAAGAAGAGAAAAAACATGTGCGAGGGCTTATGGAGATTGACCCGTCCGTTTTTGGACTCGATGGGGAACAACTGAAAGCGACAAATCTTTTAAAAAATAAAATAAACACGACTACGGATAAACCGATAGTAACAAAGCGGTATAGGTGTCCACCAGCTATAAGATAGCAAATAAAAGTTGAAATTAAGAAATTAATCGAACAAGGCATAATAGAGCCTTCAGAGTCACCGTACAGCTCAAACATGTAGATCGTACCTAAAAACACAGGACCAGATGGCGAAAAGCGCTTACAGGTAGTAACGGATTTCAGGCAACTTAACGAGATAACAATGGGCAGTTGCCATCCACTTCCCTTTCAGAGTAATATACTGGAACATATGGCGACATCACGCTTTATTATAGTGGTAGACTTGAAGCAGGAATTTTTTCAAGTCGAAATACATGAAGACAATTCTCATAAAGCAGCGTTTTCGGGACTGGATAGGCATTACCAGTACACAAAAATGCTAATGGGTTGCACGGATTCTCCGAACACGTTTTTAAGGGCAATAACGCTTGCACTCGCAGGGCTGCAGGGCCATAAGGTAGAGGTACATTTAGACGATATAATGATGTTCGCGTCAAATCTTAAAGAACATCGCAAACGTTCTATGAGATTGTTAGAGCGATTGTCAAGGACAAATCTTACAATTAAGCCAAAAAAGTGCCAATTCATAAAACGTGAAGCGAAAGTGTTAGGCCAAATAGTAGGAAATGGTAAAATAAAAACGGATCCAAAGAAAATCGAGGCTGCAAGAAAATATCCAAGGCCTACAAATGCAAAGAAAATCAAACAATTTTTTGGGTTTGTTGGATATTATAGGAGATTTATTAAAGAATACGCTAAAATTCCTTAACCGCTGTCGAAGCTTCTGAAAAAAGGTACAGAGTTTAAATGGGAAGAGCAGCATGAACAAGCATTAAAAATGCTCGTAGATGCACTTTGCAGCGAGCCGGTACTTAAGCACCCGATCTAGGAAAACCATTTGTGGTGACAACGGATGCATCTAACTATGCCATTGGGGCAATGTTGAGTCAGGGAGAAATAGGAAAAAAAAATCCGTGTGAGTATGCCTCTAGTTGCCTTAAGTGCAGCGAAATTCGATACCCTACTTACGATAAAGAATTGCTCGCTATAGTATATGCAAAAGAGCAGTTACGACCCTATCTATTTGGCAGACGGTTTACAGTGGTTACGGATCATAAGCCTCTTAAACATTTTTACTCATCAAAGAAGCCAGATATAAGATTTAGTAGGCTTAAAGCTGAAATAAGGGGCTATGAATTTGACGTTGTTTATAGACCAGAAATAGCCAATAAGGCACCGGATGCACTGTCCCGAAATCCGATTATAGAGGATGGAGAGAAAAATCCGGAACTACCGCGACGAGAGTTATATGAACTTGCTGAATAGCAGGAGAGAGATGGTCATGGTGACATAAATGCGCCACCCGCACTAATATTCAAAATGCGGACAAGAAGAGAGAGAAACATGATAAGAAATGGCAGATAGAAATATCTGATTCAAATGAGTCGAACAAAAAAGTAGAAAGGAAAAAGTCTCGCAAGACGAATAACTCAGATGAGTTGACGGTCAATGAACACAGCGACGCAGATTCAGAATCAGAGTGGCCGGTGGCAAGTGAAAATATAGAGAGTAAAGGAGCAGAACCACGTAAGAAACAAAGGAAAAGAGGCAGGCCCGTAGACAGATAGTACAGATCGCAGAAAATGACAAGGAGAAAAACATTTAAATAGGATCCTCAAACAATGGTAAAGAACAAATTCTATCACAGGGTCCGACTAAGGACAAATCAGCTTACATGTGCAAAAAAGACAATTTTAAAAAAGGGGTTTAAATAACAAGCACACCGTATTTAGAACTAGAAATACAACTGAAGATGCAGCCAAAAAATCTTAAAAGGCAATTGGATACGCTGCATAGGCACCCGCTAAATTTTTCAGTAACACCACAAATAGAAACTGTGTCAAAGGAGACTATCATAGCGAACTGTGACTCACCAGTGGCCTCAAAAGAAAAATCCGAGCCAGTAAAAAATGAGGAATTCCAACTAGCCGCAGCTAGCCTAGCGAATGAGGAAGGTACAGAGGAAGAAAAAACTGTAGGTACATGGATCATAGACATAAATGCGAATAATGATAAGCATGGGAGACACCAGCAGGCACAGACAAACAGAAATGCGAATAAAGGAAAGAAGGAGAATGACCGATGGGCCCAAGCTCACGCGCAAAGTGTAACAAGCAGCAACAGAAATCACCGAATACGGTCTAAGAGGACCTACCGACGCCGAAGAAAGGGGCACAAAGCAGACCGTCTAGTGAGAGTGTAAGCGAGGAGCAAATAAATGATTCACGACGGGGTACACAGACGGAAGAAAGTTCAGAAAAAGGGATGAAAGTAAACAAAAAGATCGAAGCGTTACTGAATGACCTAATGGATAACTTCCAAGCGAAAGTTAGACTAGATGTTAAGTGCCAGGACTTTAAAGGCAAGCCAGAAATCAGAATAGACGCTTGGGCATCCGATACTATCACCGATCGACTTCTGAGCGATCTGACGGTAAGTACGGATAATGATACAAACGTATCTCAACAGCCCTTGAAGGAAAGAACGGGCTCAGGGGATAGAGAGAAGTTCTTTAGCAAGGAAGATACCCCGCGTGAATCACCACAGATAAATAAAAACCCATCGGGGAATGAAAGAATGAGAGGGGTAACATACGATTATACCGATGAAGGTAATAAGCTCGAAAGTAAAACAGGAGGCAGAAATGTAGCCAAACAGAATTTAGATTAAATCTGCATGGAGTCGAATAAAAATTTGAAACTTATCAAAAAACTACTGGAAAAATACAAGGTAATTGCTTATTCGACTTTCTTATTTTTTCCTGTGATTTGCTATTGACGGTGCGAGAACTTCGGGATGTAATACAATGTTCGGAGTGGAAAAATATATATGTTGACCCGGAGGAGGTAGAAAAAATCCTGCAGCCCAATACAGAATATGGTAATGATGATTGCATATTGTTGCTCGCACAAGAGTTCAGGAAGAATATTTGTATACATCCACAGGGAACTAAAAGGGGAGAAAAGTGTGAGATTTTCGAAAGTTTCACGATTAATGCCAATGAGAAATATGTACACTTGCATCTCCTCTACAACCACTTCAGGCGACTCGTTGCCGCAACCAGGCATAGCGAGGAGGAACAAAGCCCAGTGAAAAGGGAATCACGGGTTAGTGACGAATCGGGCGCCAATATAAATTTGTAAAGTTAAGTAAACAAATCATGGAAAGACAAAGAGGAAGGAGTTAAAGAAATAGAGCGTAATAAAAGTGACCCCACGAATGAGGACGTTTATGAAGATGGGGACATACCCCTCCTGATCCACCACCATCCCCTGACTCTTCAAGTAGTTCAGACTTACTAAACAATGAGAGTGAAGAGGGAGCTGGTTTAAACAAGGCTAGACTAGAGTCGAAAAGCGAACCAGAGAAAGCAGACCTCCAAAGAAAAGTGTTATCAAACCTCCCACAGCTAAAAAAGAACAGAGTATGCAGGACACAGTTACCACATAAAAAACCACCGTGGCTACCAGGAAAAGAAACATACATACAGCCATTCCAAAGAATGCATCGGGCAAAGGATCACTAATTTCATTATTTTAATAACCTAGTATTCGCGACAGTAACAAAAAGTGTGCCTGATACTTAAACAATTGACGCTCTATATTAGCGCATATACATAGATCCAATAGCCCTAAATAATGAAAAGAAGATGGTTGGTGACGTCATAAGAGCAAATGTGAGAAAAGTTGCGGTAATGCGAATGTATATTATATCGCATTTTGAAGATACGGCGCTAAAATCGGACATCAAGAAATGCATTACGTTACTCAAGGCACTAGTAATAATAAATAAAATAAAGTCAATCGTAGTGATACGTGACTTGGCAATACTCAACATGAGCCAATAGATCTACTTCGTGGAACAATTTAAGGAAACTTTTAAAACTTTAAGGTCACAGTGACCTTTTACATAAACACCTTAGTTATACCACTAATGGATCAAAGATATGAGGTTATTAAGGAGTATCACGAACCAACATTCGCAGGTCCTGAAGAAATGAATAAAACCTACAATAAGATAGCAAGGGACTACTATTAGAGGAACATGAGGGCCGATGTAAGGCAATTTATACTTGGATGCAGGTCATGTCAGACTAAGAAACTAGTGCGTGTAAAAACGAAGCAAGCTATGCTCGTTACAGATACGCCCAGCAGACCGTTTGAAAAAATCTCGATTGACTATTACGGACAAATTAATAATCCTTTAACAAACGGCTATACACATATCCTGTCAATACAGGATTGGCCAACCAAGTTAATTGTATTAATACCAGTACAAAGAGCAACAGCTTAAGAAATGGTAAGAGCCTTAACGAATAAATTTTTAGCATACTTTGGAGCGTCAGAAAAATTATTATCAGACCAAGAAACGCATTTTATAAGCAAAATTATGGACGAGTTCACGCGATTATTCAAAATTGAAAAACTTGGGAGCACGGCATTTCCTACTCATAGCAACGGGGCAAGTGAAGGCATGCACCACGTTTTAACAGAATACTTAAAAGCCTACATTAGCAAGACAGAAAAATGGGACGAATTATTGCCGTTGTGTATGCTCGCTTACAATAAGTCGGAACACCAGAGTACAGGCTACACACCCCACGAGCTTGTATTTGGTCAACAGGCAAAACTCCTGTCAAGCTTCAAGAGACCAGAGGTGGGTCAAACATATACAGACTTACTGCTGTAAATAACGGGGATACTCGCGGAATAACGATCATTGGCAGCAATGACCCAAACACAGAACAAATACATATTCAAGTACCATTATGATAGGGTGCTAAACACGAATTTTTTTATGAAAGGTGAGATGGTGTATGTACTAAAAGAGCCATCTAAAGGGAAATTTGATGACTAATACGAGGGCCCTTACGAAATAGTCGGCATAGATTACAGAAACCATAATGTGAAGTTACAGAGAAATGAAGAAATACGTTTCTCACATGCGGACAAAATAAAAAAAGCTTGTGTATTGAAATCTCTGTGTCCGAGGGATAAGATTATAAGAAGAGGAAAAGAAGAAAAATAAAAGGCACCAACAGGCAACTTCCTCCCCACCCCAATAGTAACTTACGAATAATAGCATTATAGACAAATAGGGAATAGAAATAGACGTCAAANAATGTATATTATATCGCATTTTGAAGATACGGCGCTAAAATCGGACATCAAGAAATGCATTACGTTACTCAAGGCACTAGTAATAATAAATAAAATAAAGTCAATCGTAGTGATACGTGACTTGGCAATACTCAACATGAGCCAATAGATCTACTTCGTGGAACAATTTAAGGAAACTTTTAAAACTTTAAGGTCGCAGCGACCTTTTACATAAACACCTTAGTTATACCACTAATGGATCAAAGATATGAGGTTATTAAGGAGTATCACGAACCAACATTCGCAGGTCCTGAAGAAATGAATAAAACCTACAATAAGATAGCAAGGGACTACTATTAGAGGAACATGAGGGCCGATGTAAGGCAATTTATACTTGGATGCAGGTCATGTCAGACTAAGAAACTAGTGCGTGTAAAAACGAAGCAAGCTATGCTCGTTACAGATACGCCCAGCAGACCGTTTGAAAAAATCTCGATTGACTATTACGGACAAATTAATAATCCTTTAACAAACGGCTATACACATATCCTGTCAATACAGGATTGGCCAACCAAGTTAATTGTATTAATACCAGTACAAAGAGCAACAGCTTAAGAAATGGTAAGAGCCTTAACGAATAAATTTTTAGCATACTTTGGAGCGTCAGAAAAATTATTATCAGACCAAGAAACGCATTTTATAAGCAAAATTATGGACGAGTTCACGCGATTATTCAAAATTGAAAAACTTGGGAGCACGGCATTTCCTACTCATAGCAACGGGGCAAGTGAAGGCATGCACCACGTTTTAACAGAATACTTAAAAGCCTACATTAGCAAGACAGAAAAATGGGACGAATTATTGCCGTTGTGTATGCTCGCTTACAATAAGTCGGAACACCAGAGTACAGGCTACACACCCCACGAGCTTGTATTTGGTCAACAGGCAAAACTCCTGTCAAGCTTCAAGAGACCAGAGGTGGGTCAAACATATACAGACTTACTGCTGTAAATAACGGGGATACTCGCGGAATAACGATCATTGGCAGCAATGACCCAAACACAGAACAAATACATATTCAAGTACCATTATGATAGGGTGCTAAACACGAATTTTTTTATGAAAGGTGAGATGGTGTATGTACTAAAAGAGCCATCTAAAGGGAAATTTGATGACTAATACGAGGGCCCTTACGAAATAGTCGGCATAGATTACAGAAACCATAATGTGAAGTTACAGAGAAATGAAGAAATACGTTTCTCACATGCGGACAAAATAAAAAAAGCTTGTGTATTGAAATCTCTGTGTCCGAGGGATAAGATTATAAGAAGAGGAAAAGAAGAAAAATAAAAGGCACCAACAGGCAACTTCCTCCCCACCCCAATAGTAACTTACGAATAATAGCATTATAGACAAATAGGGAATAGAAATAGACGTCAAAATAAATACCACTTCTTTCGGGAACTCCTTTTCTTACGCGGTCCCTGGATGCGCCGCGAAGATTAATTAAATACAGGCATACGGGAGGAGACATTTAACGAAAGTGAATAAATTACGTTCGAAATTAGCACAGACTGAGAAATTAAGGGGAAGAGAGAAACGTGCAATATAAAAATAATAATAACAATCATAATATCATAATAATAAAAGGGAATTATTCAAAAAAGTGTATTATAAGAGGATATTCTATTTTTATTGTCTTTGTTACTTATTACATGAACGATGTATGAGAGGTGGGTAAAAAGTGCGTGTGGCTCTATCTAACTAGCGTTAAAACCATGTCAATACAATTATCACATAAGTGTACACTTAGAAGACATACGCAGATTTTAGGCATGTATATGTAAATGTAAATAAAAAAAAAAAAAAAAAACCTTTTTTGAGTTACATATTTTTACTGCCGAGACGAGCATGGAGGAACGGTAAATAGGAATTATAAGGGGTAACCGCAAGAAAAAAAATTTTATCACACTTTTATCTTGGGCCATGAGTTCGCAAACTAGGACAGATCTTCCTCTTCCCTCTTCCTCCCTCCTTCTTCTGCCCAGCGTCAGGGACTATCCTGCCCCCGCCATAGTCACTCCTGGATAATAACAGCGCCCTCAAACGGCGCACGCAGTCGTCATGAAACAACACTGGATCGGCAGTCACGTCCTTTGCGACGAACAGACCGTCCACTGGACCATCCACCTGAGGTAATTTTTCTTTACAAAAGCATATAACTGGCAACTACGACGATAAGTAAATCAACTGATAGCGCACTTGGATTATCGGTCAGCTGTCAAGAGGATAGGAAGCAGCGTCGAACTGCACGTCGATTACCACCACCATGAAGGCCCAGTGGTAATTACACTCGATAAAAAATGTATAAGTCGCCCCGGACTCAAGACTTCGACAGTATTTCTTCAGCTCATGGCCATCGAATGACGTGCACGCCACCGCTTTCTCGTGGTCCTGGAAAACAAGGAGAAACGGTACTTCTAAGGAGCACCGAACTCCACAGGTTCCAACACCTCTACAATATGGGTACCGCCGCAAGGGCAAAGGGGCCACGTTGTGAGACCACCCTTGCTCACACAGAGGCCTCGGTATGCCGAAATAAGCGTACAGATCAAAAACGAGCCGTGCACCCAACTAAAACAAATTTTTTAGTTAAACTTCAGGAACTCGGGCAACCGCACGAAAATATCAAAAATCGCACTCGCACCAGTCATAGTAAAATTTTTTTTGCGTTGTGAGGGAACAACAAGAAAAAGTACCGGATAAAATCAGCGAGAACACAGCCGGGAGTGCAGCAATGAAAAAAGGAAAACCTAACAGAATCTCTTTGACATTCCCTCCTTGAATTCTGTCACATGAGAAAAGGAAAAGATTAGGTAAATATATACATACAGTAATAAAAAAAAGGGACGAAAGGAGATATGGTACAAGTAAGGGTAAATAAGTGAAGTATAAGTTCTGACGTGACATACTGCTAACTACGGGAAGGCGCGATCATTAAATCATCTGCTCCTCCAATCTCATCCTAACCAAAATAGGGACAAACTGTAATACAACGCGGTACCTTTCAAAGGTACAATAAACAAATACATACACAAATGTCGCGAGAATCGGCGAAAACAACGCTGTAAACATACAGACACGCATGTACCTAACATGCACCGTGGGAAAGATAACATAATTTTGAGCCAAAAAAAAAGAAATTCCTAAGAAATAAGACTATTATGTACCTTATGTTTATAGCATACACATACATAGTGTAACAAATATAGATGTACATAAGTATAACATTAATATTATATGAAACGATATACCCTGAATGTAAAGACAGAGCCGCTCTCGCTTCTTACCGTAATAACCAGTCAAGCCCTAATACTTGATTGCATTTAATGATTATTAGGAAACTATGTCTGATAAATTGTATGGCATGGTCACTTGTATTTACACAGAACGTTATAACAAAATAAAAATAAGGAAATGAAAATAAAATAAGAAGGAAGGTAAAATTTTTCTCTCTCTCTCGTAGTTGCTCTCTCTTTCCTTAATCAAGGGTAACCTAGGAACCTAGAAGCTTACGATAAATGGGAGTGAGAACGGGANGTAAATAAGTTAATATTAAGTTAGATAATAAGCAATAAATGGTAATTCGATAATCATCAATGGAAGTAAGACCAACAAGGGCATATTTATCAATTTATTATGTAAAAGGGAAGAGCGCAAACACAAGCAATATGTGTAATAACACCATTATAAACTTGCGGAAAACTAATCAAAGCCTGTAAAAGAAGAATTAACGAGGATGTTCATAGGAACACCTCATTAATTTTTCTTATATAATAAGTATACATTACAACACAAACAACATGATACAGACACTAATTAAACAATCATTTCGGAGGTGGTACAGAAAAGAAATTTGTCGAGGGCGAAAACGAAGCAGCCTCGGACGTGTCACGTACAGTATGGAATATACTACGTGGGATGGGCCTCAGCTATTATTATTAGAAAGGAGCACAAGTGGGGGAAGAAAGAGCATAAAAAGGCCCGCAGCAGTGGCCACAGGGCTCTTAAACGTCGGGACTATATAGTCTAGGATAGTCGCAATAAGTAACTTGGGACCGTAAAGCGCCTTCCCTCAAGAAATGTAGCAATACAGTGATTGATTAAATTTAACTGCCGCGTTGTGATTAAGCACCCTGAACCTTGTAAAAAAAACAATCTTAATAGCTATGGTTGACAAAAACTCTATAACATTTATAAAAATTTTTTGACTAAATATGTAACTACTATAGTATCTGACAAGCTTATAAATTTTTACTAAAATTTGAGAATCTCCTACATCTCTGAGCTTTAATTTATAGTTTGAGACAAAAAGACTAGTGAAAAATCTTTTTTATGTTTCTTAAAAGCCTCATGCATCACGTTTTTAATAATACTTACTTTTGACACTGTATTGTTGATTGTTAACGATAAATTGTCTTCTAACATAATTAAGGTTGCTTTATTTTTTATTTTAGTGTTCTATTACTTTAACACTTTTGCTAAATTTATTTGTACCATATATTTCGTATACATTCTTATGTATGTCTGTAATTCAAAAATAACTAGAAGTTATATTTTTTACAAGGGAGTAAACTAAGTTTCCTGAATTTTTCAATTTTCATTTATTCATGAGTCACAAAAAATATCTTTGGTACCCAGGAGCATAGTTAAGATTTACTTCTAGAGGTATACTTTGCTCTCAAAAATTACTGTGTTGCCTAGGGAGAAACAAGTTCTTTAACCATTCCCTTCTAATAGTACAACGTCGCTCTACAGGTAAAGTACTTTACCTATTACAGTCACAATAAAACCGTATTTTAAGTAAAGGAACGAAAAACCTTGTATACGTGTCTCAGAAGTAACGTTCAGCATCACTTCTATGGTATAAGTCACCTTTGCCTTCAGCTCATGCGGTCAACACACGTCTAGGAGAAAATGCCGTTGTCAAACATATTGAATAATACAAAAGAATTTGTAGCACCAAGCTTTTTCATACACATTTTTTAAAAGTCTAAGTTTTATACGCTTTATCACGCTTTTACCAATGACTTTCTAATTTTAAAAAATGACGTTACAAAAATAAGCTCAATGTTTACAATATTTTAACAAGACTGCGAGTCCATGTCTTTTTCAACTATTTAAAAAAAAATCTTGTTTGATAAATTAAAGATAGTTCATTAATTAAGGAACTAAAAATAGAGGTTTCTGATCTTTCCTAATAGCAAAAGTCGAATTGCAAACGTTAAAAGTCCTTATAACCTTTGCAAGGCCTTTAACTTTTAATCTTATTTTGATTCACGAAAACAATAAAAAACAAA